CCGTTGTCCAGCCCGTTGTCTAAGTGACTCGTGACCCATCGTTATCTTCCCATGCAAACTGCCCTGATTAATTCAATCCGATGATGTAAAAAACAGTCGGGGATGATGAAAGCCAAAAAACCAATAAGAAATTGAACAACTTCTGCCTGTTACACACCAAAGCTGCTGTCCAGTGCGCCAAACCAAAGTTTGAGGGTTAACAAAACCAGGGCCGAGGGTGAAAAAGGCAGGGGGGAGGGTGAAAAAAGAAAGGTTCGGGGTGAAAAAAGCAAGGTTGAGGGTGAACAGAACAATTTCAAGGGTTGGAAAAAAAGGACTCCTGAGGGTTAGAAAAACAAGGTCCCCGTTGAGAGGTTCCAAACAGGTCGGAGGGTTAAAAAAAAAGGAAGGGTTGAAAAAACAAGTATGAAGGGTGAAAAAAAAAGGGAGCCCATGGCAAAATCGTCGCTGGCACTGTGCTTCCAGCGCAAAAGCCTTGCGTAGTGCATGAGCAAAGCATCACAAAGGCCAACCGTGACATCAGACCGAACCGATTTCGCAGCTCGGCTGATAGCTGGTTGGAGTCCGAGTAAGGCTGGGGTGCCTCACTCCTGCTTGGCCGGTGCTGGGTCCACCATCTCCATGTCTCCCAGGGTGTCCGAGTCCGTGTTCAGCTCGTAGATCTCGGTGTCCACGGCGCTCTTCCTTGTGGGAGTCTTTGAGCGGCGGCATGGAAGAACTCCTGTCAGAGTTCGATTCTTCGATCGGCAATTTCCCTTGCCGTTGTTCTTCTCCGTGATCGTGCCGTCCGGACCCGCATTCGCGTTCTCGGTGTCCCGGTTGAACTGGTCCTCGAGCATCGCCGTCGCCTGGTTCTTGATCTCCGTGGCCAGGATGCTCCCCTGGGACTTTGGGACGTTGTCGCTCTCCTTGGTGGTGACCTTGACCAGTTTGTTCATGTCCGTGCGATAGCGAGGCGGTGGGAGATACTCCGGGTAGGAGCCCTTGAGCGGCTTCTCGACCACCAGATGGCTGCTGCTGCTGCTCCCGGCAGTTGTCTCCTCCAACTGATTCCTCTCCCAGCGCGAACCGCACTGCAGGCATGTCCACCAGAAGTAGCCTCGACCTGCTCGGTGACGTAGGTACTCCTGAACGTGAGGACAGACATCCGGCTCGTGGACCCAATTCTTCTGGGCTTTGGAGCGCGTGAGGGGCTTGCCGATGCCCTGCCGAACCACTTGCTGCGAGACGTTCTTCGTGGTCTGCTTCTTCATGGTCGTCTGACTCACGGCTCCCAACTCTTCCTCCACCTTTCTTGACTTCACCAGGTAGTCCACCACCAGCTGATCGGTGGCTGCCTTGATCAGGGTGAAGATCGCGAGGGTCATCCTTCGCCAAGCATTTTTCGCCCTTTGCGGATTCGGCTCCTTGGGGACGGTCGGATCCTTGGCATGGACCATCTTGTTGATGCGGTCCTTCAGCGATGCCATGGCCGACCACGAATTGTCGAGCTTGATTGAATAGCCACTTGAGCATGGGAAGTGGCTGCGGCGGTACATAGAGATCATGACCCGCACCGTGATCGCTCGGTCCAAACTGGCTTCCATTCTCAGAGATGTCAAAATGAGCAGCCTCTGATTGTTGGTGACCGGTTTTCCTGGGGTGCGCGTCTGGCTGTCGGTTCCGACCGCTTCGTGATGGCGGTTGGTAGCTAGAAAAAGCGCTTCCCCGGGCATAAGGTCCATTCGGTCCCCAGGGCCCATCAGCGCCAAAATCATCACCAGCGGGAGCACTTGCATCGCCTCCCAAAAAAACGTTGGCGTTGATGCCGTTCTGGTAAAAGGTGACACTGCCGTGCCAGGGCTGCTGAAGCTCTCTATGGGCGTGCTGCGTCTGCCAGTCGTCATCGATGGTGATCTCGCTGCCGTCATCGAACACGACATGTGATGTGCGGCGGCGAGTGATGTGCTTCGGAGGCAGTCCACTGCAATCCGCGGGCACAATCATGGGCAGGCGCCCGCCAGGTAGAGCTTGCACAAAAACTTTATCATCTGCTCGTTGAAGCCACACTGACACCATAGAGACCGTCGCCGATGAAGTGTGGGATGGAAGCACAAATGGGTCCAGGTCGGGGTTCTTTCGCATCTCGGTTGGCAAATTCCAACCGTCGGGATGGTACTGCAAAATGTCGATGGCGCGATGTCCGGTGGGCAATCTGAGCATCTCAACGGTGTTGCCGCCAATAACGCACTCGCTCTTCTGGAAGTCGATGATGGTGTCCATCGTCTCCAGGAAACTCACCGGCAGCAGGGGGGGTGTCTCAAACTCCCCGGTGTCCTTCAGCACCGTAAACCTGAGGATGCAGTTATGGCCAGCAACGCCAATAGGCACATCCATCATCGATTGCACCACAGCTGCTCCGCCAATGCCTCCAGCGCCAGGAAGTTCCACACCAGTCGCTGGAATGGCTCGCAATCCCATGGCCCGAAGAGAGCCACGCAACCTGTTCATCGCGTTCGATCCGATCACAGCGTCCTCGGCGGCGGTGTCCACCAAAGCCTCGCTCGGCCTGCATCGAACTCCTGCAAATACAGCGAGTCGCCTAGGCTGATGGTAGTGCATGAAGACTGCAGGGGCATTGGAAGGGTGGGCACCAAAGACGAAGATCCGCTTGGTCTTGTCGGAGAAACCTTTCGATGAGCTTGTAGTGGATGAAGTCTTCAAAGGGCAATCTCTGGCGAAATGTCCCATCTCGTTGCAGTTGAAGCACCGGGTGCGGTTCTGCAGGTCGCCCATGCTGCCCTTGAAGCCTCCGTCATCTGACTTCCCCTTCCGGCTGAACTTGGATTTGCCGCCCTTGTTCCATTTTCCCTTTTGGAAGGTTCTCTTTCCTCCAAAGGGCCGGTTGTAGTTGTCGCGCTTGGTGTAGCCGCGCTCGTTCCTCCGCCGTTGCAACTCCTTTCTCACATCTCGGTAGGCCGAGTGGTAGGCTTGGATGTAGTTCGCCTCGGTCTCCGAGTACTCTCGATCCTCCATGTACATCAGGGGGTTGCCCTCGTCATCCATGAGAGATTCTTCCTCCGCGTCCTCGTTCTCATCCTCCTCGAAGTAGGACTGATCGTCCTCCATGTGGTCGTCCGCATTAGCGTGCTCGGGGCTCGCGAAGTAGGCTCCTCGAGGTCGTCCACCAGCGTTGTCAGGTCGAGCAAGTGCCTCCGGCCTGTCCAACGGTCTGAGCATGTTGGCCACCTCATCAAAGGTCCGCATCATCGGTCCTTTCAGACTAACGAGTTCCCTCTGGAGCTCGTTGAGGTTGGCCTGCTTCAAGAGGATCCGCCCGCAAAGCCTGTCGCTGACATGTTCCCGAGGTGGGATTCCATCTCCTGTCGAGCCAGCTCCTTCGTTGCCACGAAGGATGAAAATGATTCACCTCGTCCGCGCTCTCCTTCGAATAGGAACTTGTCGACGGCCTGCGGGCCTGTGGCTTCCAAGAAGGGGCCGTACTTCTCCAAAAGCTTCGAGAGGATCGCCGAGTAGCCCTGTGCGGAGATCAGGATGTCCGTGGGCACGGTGTCGGCGATACGCCTGGGCTGAGAGCCCTCCGGAAAGCTCTGCAAGAGCTTGATGCCTCTCTTGTCCTGCGGGATCTGGCTCTCATGCTCCCACAGCGCCAAGAGTTTCAACCATGAACGGAGCGTGGTCGTAGCTCCATTCCAGCAAGGAATCGGCCTCTTTTCACCGGAGAGGGCCTGACTCAGCGCCTGGGCTATCAGCGCGTCTCCCGACAGTCGTCCTTGAGGATGAGCAGCATGACCTCCCGGCAGGGAAGGTTTTCCCAGCATGTCCATTGCAGAATGAACTACTCGTTGAGGACTTCCAGAAAGGCCAGAGCCTATGGCTGAGGCAAAGGTAGCTGCGTTCATCTGGGTGCCGGGGTCCACGTTCGTGGCGGGCAAAGGATTCGCATTGGGGCAAGGGGTGTTCAAGCTGAAGGGCAAGTTCTGGGTGTTCGCGCCGAAGGGCAAGTTCTGGGCATTCATGCCGGTGTGCACGTTCGGGGCGTTCACGCCAAAGGTCATGTTCTGGGCGTTCATGCCGTAGAGCAAGTTCGGCGTGTTCAAGCCGAAGTTCGCGCTCTGGGCATTCATGCCGAAGTTCTGATTCTGGGCACTCGTGCCGAAGTTCTGGTTCTGGGCACTCGTGCCGTCGGCGGTGTGCTGCATGTGGTGCGCATTGGGCGTCGGTCCTGAGGAAGGTCCAAAGGAAAGTGGTGGCCCCGCCGTGCTCAGTCCAGGTGGTGGACCGAGTCCGGCCGTTGTCGCCGCGGGTGTTCTCGCGGATGCGTCACTGCGGCCTTGGTTCCGCAGGTAGTCCAACCATGGGTCGGATGGCGAGGCCATCGGTAAGGCTCCGCTCACCACTGTTGGTGAGCACCCTACAAACGCTCTTTTCTACTGGGGCGCAGCCGATACAGCTCAAGGCCTGTCAAGACAATCCAGATCAACCCAAGACTCTTAAGTGGTTTCCTCACCACTGATTCAGAGCCAAGAGCCATGGAAACAATGTTGACCTTTGATGGGTCCTCAATTGATGGCTACTGGCTGTCTTTGCGCCAGTTGGGATGGATGAGACCCGATAAGTAGTGAGATAAGCCACCCTCCCATGGATCTTGTCCACCCATAGTATAAGGCTGCAATGGCGACATCATGCCAGTGACACGAACCATCGAACAACTCCCACGAATCTGAGGCCGGCGCCCCAATCGCAGTCATGGGATCCCTCCCTGTGGCCCAGGCGTCGTGTTCCAAAAAATGAAGGATCCCCACTAGACAAAGACCGATGCACTGACAGACTGAGCCACTCCCCCAGGCTTACTTGGCCTTCTCTGAGCCAGAAAACTGGCCACAGGAGCCTGTTTGGCTTCACGTGAGTGTGCTCTTTTTTTTGGGGGGGGACCACTCTTGGCTTGGTTTAAGGGGAGACCAACAGGAACACCACCACTGCGCCACCCCTTGGCCCGCCTGGTTCCGCCTCAAGTTCAGGGACTGCACGCAGCTCTTCAGGTCCCTCGGGTGGATCCTGGTGCTTGCTTTCCCTGGTGCTTAGCAGGGAATGAGAAATGCAAAAAAAAAAAACTGGTGGCTTCCGTCGGGGGATCTCTATAGGTTCATTCTTAGAGTCCCCACTGAGAATCAGCAAGTTTCACGGAATGCAGTGGATTTCCCAAGTTTGTCCTGCAAACAAGTCGAACCTTAGGAACCGGCTCCGGGAAGACCCTGATCCAATTGAAGGGAACCGGTTCCTACGCAAATGTCACGTTTCGGTTTTGCTGGTAAACAAAGCGAACCTATGACCAACTGCCAACAAATAGCAAGGCCCTGCAAAAATCAGTCGACAACTCCCCGCATGTCTACCTCACTTGCAAAAGGTAGACCAAAATGGACCCAAAAGATCTGAAGGCTTTGACAGCACGCTCGTCCCGAAAGAAAGCTAGCAGCCTTTACTGTGCGCAAGAAAAAACATGGCCGCCTTTTCTGGTTGGATAGCAAACATCCTTCAATGGAACAGGGCCCACACCAAGGCTTCCATCACAAGCTCGAGAAAGAAATCGATTGAAACAAGTCAAGGATTCAAAGTCTTGCTCTCATTTGGGGGTCCCTTGAAACTAGAATCTGGTTGAGCCAGACCCAACCCCGCTTTAGGTTCTACCGCCCAATGGATACCCTGCAAAAACAGGGACGCCTCTGGGTGCCGTCAACATCGAAGAGGTCGAAAGCGGCCTTCACCTCAAGGCAGGCGGCTGTAGCTAAAAATGCCTTTATTAAATCTCTCTCTCTCTCTCTGTTTCTTTCTTTCTTTCGCTCTTTTTGTTCTTTATTTCTTGTTCTTTGTTTCTTTCTGTCTTTGGCTAGCATCCCCTAATCCCAAGGGCCAGCACATGCCTTCAGTCTGTCTCTGCCCAAACGACCTGGAAATCAAAGGTTTGCCTTCGATCAACAAATTGAAAAAAGGGAACTGCCAAAAGGTTCGGTCGATTCGCTTTGGATAACTGCGTTTCGCGTAAGGCTTAAAAAAACTTGTCGACCGTGCGTTTGGCTGCAGATACCTGTCCTACCCGCCGCCGACTGAGAAAGTCTGCCATGCTTGTGTTGGACACCTGCATGTTGCTCGTTTTCTCGTATGGGTTAACTGGAAACCCCACCAAAACCCTGAAAATCAAGAACCTAAGCGACAACTGATTAGCCCCCTGCTCGTTGCTCGTCCCTGAAACCCAGCCAGCCAAGAAAACGATGGCCTCCTCGATCTCATCCTGCATCAGCCCCGGACGCTCGTACCTCTTCCAAGACCAGCTGGAAGACGCCATGAGCGGCTTGGAGAGGCTTGGAGCGATGGGCGAAAGTCGTGTTTTTCCTTGCTGGGGCCTTGAACAAGTGAGGAACACTTTGTCCCTGTTGCTTTTTGCCTAGGTCTCAACTGGTGAGGAAAAAAATGTCCACCCCCCTTTGGGCGTTTGGGGGACATGTGAAAAAGTCATAGGATGGAGCGCCTGGTGGAGACCTCAGGACCTTTCAGCCCGGCGAAGATCCCGGCCTGCAGGGCCTTCTCCTCCAAATCCCTATCCCTAGTTGTTGACCTCCAAAAAAAACACGCACACACCAAGTCCCTAGTTGTTGGCCCCCCCAAAAAAAGAATGCTTTTTAGTTTGGAGTAAGGCCTCAAAGTCCCGAAAATTGAACTTTGATCTGTGAGTGTGCTCACATTTGCCCCTCAGTGCGGGCAGTGAGGAGGGCTGCGTTTTGCTCGCCCAAGTCAGATCCGAGCTAACGCCGCGGGGAAGATATCAGCTGGGGAGGAAACCAAAACAAAACACTCGCGTGGCCCATCACATGCCATGTCCAAGATCTGGATGTTCAGCGAGCTGGAATGTGGTGTACTCATGTTGATATGTGCATGTGTGGATCCCACCAAAAGGAAACATGTTCGCCAACTCAAGTGTTGAGAACGCCTATCATGTCTTTACAGAAAAACCACTTGCTGACATTGAAAGCCCTAGAAACTGCCGATTTAATGACCCTGGTCCCATGGGCTCACAATTGTTAGACGAGCGCTGAAGGGGTAGCAATCGGCAAAGGGCGCCCAAGGCTCAGCCGAAAGGCTCTGGCAACACTCGTCAAAAGCACATCCCCCTTGAGTGGCCGGGTTCAAGACTACCAGGTTCATCTGGGCCGCTGATGCCAAAGATGTGTCTGGTCAACTAAGGGGTTTCTGAAGGAGTCGAGGGCAACACAGCAACATCATGCAACATCCGAGCATCCAAGCGCAAAGCGGCGCACCCGCGCACGCAGCGAGGTCTTTCGTTTCTGCGCTGCGGGCTCCACTTCAAGCCGTGCAAGCGCCAACAAAAAGCCCGCCTGTACATGTGGGCAGTGACGCACTTGGCCAAAGGGCCTGTAAACAGAAGACTGGTTTTTGGGGATCTTGACTCATTGAGGGGACTATCTGGAATACCGGGCTGTCTTGAAACGGGTATCCGAAAAGGTGGCAATGAATCCCTACTTCTCACAGTTACAACATCGTCTTGACTAGGGGCAAACGTGGGGTCAGCCAAAGGGCGACGTCGGCGTTGACCAAGTGAGCCGAGCTTTACATGGCTGCGGTTGGCACGGCCGTTTCTGGCAGCCCTTTTGGCGCGCACGGAATCACAGATCCCCCTTCAGACCCTCAGACCACCTGTCAGATTTATAAAACACTTCTTTACCCCTTTGCCGTTTACTCGGGTGTATGGTCCAGGGGCCTGGTGGTATATGTGACAGAACTATTCCTCGTGCCAGCCCAGGCTCTCGTCCACCAAGTGGCACAAGCGATGGGATGGGCGGCGAAATGGCTCCTTGCGAAAGAGTTCGCCTCTGACATTCTAGGGGTTGATTCCTTGTCCATTCTTTTCAGCCATCGTTCTTTTCAAAACCCCCCTGGGATTCTGATGGTTGCCTGAAAAGCAGGATCCCTGGAAAGAATTGGGGAGGTTCCCCTAGAAACATGGTTCTCCCCATCTTCCAAGGCACCCCAGGCTTAGAGGGGATTGCAAAAGAAGGTGCGCCTAGGACAATTCCATCAACGTTCTCCCGAATGTGGCATGCAGTCAACTCAGGAACCTTCTCAATCAGTGTGGGCAGAAGGCCATGGGCTGAGAAGGATTGCCGGGGATTCACAACCGCTGTGGTTGGCTTGCCCTTGGATTCTCACCAGGACCAAGGAAATAAAATATTCACCTTCTGGGACCTTGGCCACAAATGAGCCAAAGAGAAAAAGAACAAACATAAAGGTTGAAAAGCCTGGATTTTGAACTGAGTATCTGGGCTGTCCTCAGATCCCCTGCTAAAAGTTTAGCTTCTTTGTGGGGCTAAATGGACCTCCCCACTGTTTAAACCCTAACAACCTAAGCACTAAAACCTCAGGGAAGGCTGGGAGGCGCCAAGGTATGTGATACCTTCATTGAGGATTTGATGAAGCGGATCGGTCCCGGCTCTCGAAGTATGAGACGACTAAAGATACCGGGCGTACATAGCACAGGGTGAAAGCAAATGGAACAACACCCATGTCAGCAAGCCAAGGGAGTGACTAAAACCATCTAAAACCCCCTCCCCTAAAGTGAGCTCGTCATAGGCAAATCCTGACAGTCTGTCGAACTTTGCCGGGCGTCCACCGCCAGGAAGTACAAGCAAGGCAAGGCGAGCGCGCCCACACCTACCAGGATCACCGCTGTGGCCGCCTGGCGTCGGGTCGTGTTCCGTCGAACCTTGCCACCCGCAGCACCATGCCACAACAGGATCCCGGTTGTCCAGTGGGCGGAGCAAGGGAACCCATCTTGGTTGGTTTACCATCTTTCAGTGGGGAAACCAGGGTGCCGCTGAACTTCTTCTGAACTGACACACCTCACCAAGCCGTACTGCGCACCCACTTCCATTGTTGCACCGCGCTGCCTCTCCCCCCGCCTGCAGCTCTGCAGCAGACTGGTCCTCTTTTCCGCAGCCGGCGGCCTCTGCAGCCAGACAGTTGGCCAGCAGCAGTGGGAGATTCACCAGGACCTGACGACCGAAGGGCTCCCAAAACTCGACGATCAATGATTGGGTGACCCGAAATGGATTATAGCCAATGGGTGCTAGGGTTCTACGCACATATTGTCCCTCGGTGCAAGCTGGAACCTTCTTGCGATCCCTTGATTTAGCGGCCCTACATAGCCAGAATGGGGTTGTGCAAAACCTTCTTGGCCAAGTAACCGTGTGAGTATGCGAGTATGCGAGAATGAGGTGTGCCATTCTGCCGTCCCTATGCCTGGCCTAGCCTCTCTCGAAAGAAGGTGTTTTTGGGATCGGGGCTTTGGCTCTACGTGGGAAGCGGCATAAAGGTCTACATAGGCCTCCTTTAACCACCAAGAGGTCAATAGGGGGTCTGGTCTAGCCCAAGAATCAGGAATTGTCTCCTGTTGCTTTGTCCCCTGGAGGAAATTGACCATGAATGTGTCGAGGCCAGTGGCTTGGAAGATCGCAACGGATCGGTGTGATGCCACTCGTAGGCCTCATGAACCCAAAAGAGCAAAGCGCTACTGAGCTGAGATGCTCTCAAGAACAGAAATGCCCCCCCTCGCCAACTGACCGGGCAAAGAGGTCATCTTCAGTTCCACGCAACTTCCCTGGAAAGAGGCGGTGGAAACCTGGGAGCTAATTACATGGGACCTGTTTGCTTTTTGTTGGGCGTTTGTGGATTTACAGAAATTGGAGTCCAACAGAACATGTGCCTCAGGGGTTCGTTCTGTCGCTGCTCCGCCCGCTCGCCTGCAGCACGTTTTGCCAGAAGACCAGGTCCTCAGCATCAATCAGCGGAAATGGACCCTTCATCATGGTGGCCTGAGGTCGCAAAACCTGACTTTTTGCAAGGGCGCCAGCAAAACACGCCCAGAAACTCATGGAAGTGGTGAGCTCACCTGGAATCGACCAGCGCGCCGGCATGCGCACCAGAAGGAGCACCCAAGAAAATCATGGGTGGCATGCTTGCTTAATGAAACAAATGACACATATGATTAACCTCTAAGGTTGCGGCGGAGCCCCTGCCGGCGTAGCACAGCAGGAAGGTATCCACGCGGGCGTGGATGAACTTGTTTAGCGGCCCAATCCTGGACTCGTTGCTTTGGTTTCAAGCTGGCCATCGTCATTATTTTTCGAAATGTCATCCTGCAAATGTCTTAGGGGTCCATGATCATCAGCACGCACCTCGAGTAAACAGGTCTGTTGAGCGTGTCTATGTGGGCATGTCTGGGAATTGAGGACCCCTCCAAGAAGTTGGTTCCTTTCTGGTTTCCCACTAAACTGAGTTGTTCAAACTGGGGGGATCCCTAATGACACCAGTAGTGAGACACCAATACAAAGGACTCAACTACCATTTGGATCCATTTGGCATGAGGAGTAGGGATTGACTTGAACTCGGCCATACAAAAAGCTGTGCCCCGCATGGGCGAAATTTGGAGAACATTGCAACTTAACCAGACAAAAACCGTAAAATATTTAAACAAACATGTTTTCCCCAATGCAGAGAGTTAGGGAATCAACCTTGTCAGACTCAAAACCGGAAGATTGGTCCGCAACAAACCGGTCGCCACAGTTTTCCAGGGCCAATGTGCGAAGACGTCCCTTGGATTTTGTTGGGGGCCTCTGACCATCTTCTAGGTTTACCATCCCCATGGCCATGAGAGCACAGAAATTAGTGTAACCTCACTTATGCCAAGTAGTTTGGAACTACCCACTGAAACGGCCGCGCTGCTCATTTCGGCTGCGGTCAAAAGGCGGCAGGAAGATCAGCATGGCCGCGTACAGCGCGGAGCCCCCGATCCACACCTCGACTCGGTTCAGCGACTCGGCCAAGAACCTGTGGGGTACAGTGGAGTCCAAAACAAAATCCAAGGTAAACCCGCCAACAGCCAGGGCACGTTACAACTATATGTTCCACGTCCACGTCACGTGCAATGTAAATGTATCTGCTTATTATATGTGTATCTAAGGAATCAGCTGTAACCTGGCATTGAAAGCGGGTCAGGGAAAATAGTGCAAAACATATGAGGTGCTCGGTACCCCGGTACGGCCGGTACGCTCACTTGTTCTCTATACGGGAATGACCTCTTTTCAACCCGAAGTGGATCTGAATGTAGGGCATGGCTTGCAGGGGTTCTCTCCCCGCATGCCCTACGGAGAACAAGCGGAGCAGTGGGGAAACCGTGGTTGATTACTCGCGTTTTGTGAGATTGCGCGGCTTGGCTGGCAGGCTCTAACAAGACATCAAACCGAAACGGCTTCGGGCCGGTCCTTTTGCCGAAGCCCGGCTCTAGGACAAGTCTGCCGTACCTTGTTTTTAGGGCACTAACTGAATCAGCTACTATTTTCAAGCTGGGCCAATCAGAGGCCAAGATGGGGGTGCAGGATTGATGGCTGCTTCATCCCCTTTGGGGAGGCAAGTGGGTGCCCTGTAGACGCTTGCAACCAGGCAGGTGCTACCTGTTGATCCCCGTCTCACCCCAAAGGACATGGAAATGAAAAAGTGGCCTGTTGGGATGACAAATGGACCAAAAGGGAAAACCAAAAGGTGAAAAGGCCGACTGAGTCTGCACCTCTCGAGACTCCCTCGACCTCTGCTTGCGAGCTGCCGACAGCGAAACGCCCACAGCGAGCAGCGTGACGATGCCAATCCTCGGATAAGGCGAGGATAAGAGCCTGCTTTAAGTGGGCTGACGTTTTGTTCTTGGATGTCCGGCCAAGTTAGCAAGTGGTTAGCTAACCTACGAATAACAGGGTTAGTTCCATTGGGGGGGGCATTCGAGTGGGATATAAACTAGATCACCAACAACTTACTATCTTGTCCGAACACTCAAGTACTAACAAGATGGCTGAAGGATTTTTACAGGCCTACGGAATCCAATAATCCAGGTACCCCCTTCTTAAATGGCCAACGGGAGCTTTGGATGGTGCCCAGTGAAACAGCCATAAATCTGCGTAAATGACTATAAACCCGGGTATGCTACCGGAGGTAGGGTACCGGGTAAAGGATGCATCTTGTTTGAGAAATCTTGGGCTTGTGTGAAGTCTGAAAAAATTAGGGGACCCCTGAAATGGTCCCTGTACAACCGACCAACCGACCAACAGCCTACCCGTTGCGGGTTCGCATGAAAACAACATGAAAACAGCATGGCCCTCTAAATCCGCGTGCTGGATAATGCAATCTCCATATTCCCGGAGCCTACAACATGTGGACTTTGGACACTGGCCGAGCCTTGTCGTCTCGTGTGGCCTAGCTGCTTGCCGGTGTGCGGGTGTGAAACAGTCCCTCCCACAAACCGAAGGCACCCGTGGGAGGGCACCTGGAAGATAAATTTCATCTAAAAGGAACCCCCTGTGAAGTGTGGGAGGGAGAGTATCGCCAGTTGCCTCCACGCTGGGACCAATCTATAGCCTCTCCACATCAAGGAAACCAGGACACCTGTCCTTACTTCAGCTCCTAAGTTTGATTGGGTCATACTTTGTACGCCAGAAGTAGACTTTCCAAGTAGCATAAAGCGGCTTCCCCATTTTCCCCGAGGCCTTGTGGGACTTCGACTTCCCCAGCTCCAGGTTCAACAGGGTTCCGGCATACATCCAAAACCTGGTCTTAATAAGGATGTTTGTTCAAATACATGTCCCACATGTATCCTTCAAGGGACCCTGTTTAATCATGTTGCTTTCACAACTTTTATTTGGTTTCCCCTCTGCAGGGTCTGGGTCTAAGTCCTCCAGTAGAGAGGTCAGAAATAGGGGTACCCTTTTTTCCGTAGTCTATTTTAGTAGGGGAACCCTCCCCCCCAAAAAAAAAAAACAAAACTAGACGTGTTTAAGGCCCGGCGGCCTGATAAATTTCCTTCGGGGCGCAGGGGCAGCAGCCAGCCCCGGTAGAAGCGCTGCCACGGCTTGGAGCTCGCTGCCACCGCCTCCAGGCCGAGGAGCCCGGTAGACAAAGGCAACCCGGCTGTGGCTCAAAAAACCGGTACCTAAAATGGAACCGAAGTAAGTGGAAACATGGACCAAAACCTGAGTAACCCCTCCTGTTTATTTTGAGCCACACCCACCCCTTTTTGGGGGGTCCATGATATCCATGTCCTCTCCGGTTGCTGGAGTTGTTGTCATGTATTCTCCAGCTGCCTCCTGAAAAGAACTGGAAAAAGCGGAAATGAATGGCGAGGGCACAGCGTGGAACTGTATATTCTCTTTGGAATGGGTTCATGGGCTTTTCTAGAAATAGGAGCCCGTGATGTTGGCTTGATTCCTTTGGCTTCCAGGTGCCACAGCGCTTCCAACCAGAAACCTCGTTTGTTTGAGGCATCGTGTCCCCCAAAATTGAACCTCCGCTTTGGAAAGGATCAGTCAGTCCATAGGTGACCTTTTGGAAAAATACATGGCCCTGGTAAATGGAATGAAACCAATCTATAGACCAGCGCCATCTATTTTCCAAACCAGCCACTAGCCTAAAAAGGACCCCTGTAGATCAGTCGAACTGCTGAAGAACCGATCTGCCGTGCTCCCGCCTCCTCGCTGGTCTCAGGCAGGCTTCGCATCTTCAGGAACAAGCTCAGCAAAATCAGAAACGCCGAGGCACCGATCAGCAGCCCTGGCATATGAACGAAGCGGCCAGCAGAAAACCAAGAGGACAGCCGCCACGTTGAGAGTCAGAGTAAGTTCCCTATTTTGACACATACCCATTTGAGAGCATCTCAAAAAAGGGCTCCCCAAAACGCTTGGTTTTCTGTTGGTTTCCTGTTAAGCTGGGCAAGCTTAGGCCCCCGGCAAAAAGAACAACTCTTCTCTGGATAGAAGGGAAACTGATGGAAAACTGCAAGGCGAAAAAGGCTAGCAGAGTTGCAAATGCCCAGAAAGGCCACCAGTTTGGGAATCAACGTCCTGATTCTGCCACCCTATTTGAGAGTGTCGTTTGTTCGGACCTATGCCATCAATGCAAGCTTGTAACATTGGTATACAAGTAGTACCGCGCAAGGCGGTGGCGGAAGTTTCTAAAAAAGAACCACTATAGGAGGCTTGAACAACCAGGGCAAACATGTTTGGGGCCAAATTGAAAACCAATCATGTTTTGTTTGTGACGAACATGGCCAAACGGTCACAAAAGAAATCAACAGGTCATGTCTTCACAGGCAACTATTCCACCGCTCGGACAAAAACTGGAAAGAAAACCTGGCTGACAGGGAGCCTGCCTGACCGCAAATGTTTGACAAGTCTTAAGCCTCCATCATTTACCCTTTGTTACCATCCGCCCGCCCGTTGTCCCACCGGCTCTTTTTCCTTTTTATGCGGGCAGATTCACTTTGTCTCTGTTCAAGGCAGCACGGTCAGAAAAGACGCATGCTGCCAGGCAAGGCACACTGCAAGGCACACGGCCTGGCAAGCGCCGGGCGGTCAGAAAAGACGCACCCTGGCGCATCTCAAGCGCATTCAGCGCTGTCTTGTCAAGCGTTCAAGGTCATCGTGCACCTCTTGCGCCGCGGTGCGAAGCTGGAGACACTCGTCAATGTCATTTTGCTCGAAGTGTTTTTGGGCGTGCAGCGGAGTAAAGGCAACCAAGCCGGGTATGTCTTGGCCTTCGTTGCTGTGAAACTCAGGGAGCCAGCGGGGAAGGCCTATGAGCATCACGCGGTCATCGCCGTCTGCTGCTCTTTCGTCCGCACGGGCCACAAAGCCTAACTCCTGCAAAAGCGTGCGAAGATACTGGCTGGCCCGCTGGTCTCGCGCGCGCGGGTCAGCCCCTTTGCTTCCGATCTCCGTGTACCTCAAGTATCGCTGCGCGTTCAGAGTGGCCATGATGCCGTGTTTTTTGTTGAAGCCATGCCAGTGTGGGCACACGGTGCCAAAGCCCATAAGCTGCTTGTGCCTGCGACATCTTCCAAGAGGGCATGTGTCGTGCACCAAGTAGTGCTCGATGTCCCCCGCATCGTTTAAGTATCCAATGGGGCGATACTTTTCACCCCACATGGTGCAGCAAACGGGTCGCACCACAGAGCGGGCAGCGTGGTGCCTCTTGCGGTAGTTATGCGCCACCCAGCCGGCATCGGCATCGCCAGGACGCGTGCGCTGCGCTCTGATGCCGCAGCCTAAAAGAAAGTCATACAAGGCAACATCCCAAGCCTCCTGGCGCGCCAAGTGCACGGAAGCACACATGCCCAGCATGAGCTCCACGTGTGCTCGCAAGTGTGGATGCATCACACTGTCGGGCCTCAGCGTGGCCATGATTTCAGCTCCCAAAGCTTGCAAGTGGATTTGCGCTCCAAGGGCTGAGACAGGGGCAGAAAAGCCGCCTGCGTGGCCAGCAGCAGGGGCAGAAAAGCCGCCTGCGTCTGACATCCACCAAGGCATGCCGAGATTGGATTGCTCGAAAGAGGCTCGCCAGTCCCTTGAAAGCAGGACGTGCCCCAAAGTCATATCTGCAGGCACCGGCAACGGGACTTGCAAGCAGACATCCGTCTCGGAGATCACATTGTCCCGCGAAGTGTTTAGGGGCTCACCAGTGTTGTCGCCCCAGTTCACCTCCATCGCCCCGGCCGAGCATCGAATGGCCGGCAAGGCTCTCGGCAAGGGCAAAGCGCCGCTTGCCTCCAAGTAAACATCGTGCTCCATAAAGGACTGCCGCGGCGGAAGCTCCGGCAGCAAGCCGAGATCGGAAGCAGCCACATGGCGCCGCACCTGCTTCAAGTCTGCCCGGTAGCCCTCGGGGATCAAAGGATCCCTGCACATAAGCGCGTACTCTTCCGAGAAGGCAGTCTCATCAATTTCGTGCGCCACGCCCTGCTGCGCCGCCCACCAAGCCTCCCAGTCGGCAGTGTCTGGCAGCAATAAGCGGAGAGCGTTGCCTTGCCAGCAGCTCGGACGCGCCGTCCGGTGGAGCCACGTGACGTAGCAGTACTTGTGCACCACGGCCAAGATATCAAAATATTTTCGCCTCCTGCAGCGGCAAAGCCACCAGTCTTAAGAAGGTGCTGGACAGCAAAAATGAATAATTCAAGGTGAGCACCGACCACATGTAAAGGAAGACCAGACACTGGAAGAGCGCCATGGCCGGCATACCACCAAGAGGCAACTCCGGAAAAACCTCCGCGGCAACAAGCATACGCTGCAGCGCTGCAAGCTCTTGCTGCAACTCCCGACTAGATGCCAGCAACTCGCTAGCGTAGGCAATCAAGCCTTGAGCGTCCTCCGCGCTCTGTATGACCCGGAACGAAAGCAAGGTCGCGTCCGAAGTAACGTCAAGCAAGCAGTCCACCCCGCGCCGAGACAGCGTCTGCGCACCTGGCTGAAAGAGCACGCCTAGTGGGGCATAGCAAGGCAGCACCAAGCACAGCGCGGTGTCCTCCACGTCGGCCGCGGCAGATTGGGCCACCTCTGGCGCGAAGGACACCCTTTTCTTTTTCTTGGCGCTGGGCGCAGCCGCGGCGTGGGCAGAGTCGTCCTGCACGTCAGCCCACGCAGGTCTGCGAGTCGTGGCTGCTTTCGGGGAGGCGGTCAGAAAAGACGCACCTTCCCCGGCAGCGGCGGGCAGAAAAGCCGCACCACTGCCAGAGGCTGCTCTTGGGGAAGCGTTCAAAAAAAGCCGCAACAGACGCTGCTTCCGGGGAGGTGGTCAGAAAAGACGCACCATCCCCAGTAGAAATGAAGTGCTCGTGTATTTCCGCTGCAAGCGTGTCCCAAGGCGTGCTGAGCTGAAAGGGACAGGCGCACAAGCCACAGCGCTCCGGGAAAGCTTGCTGCAGAGCGCGCATGATAGGGCACCAGTGGCGGGCCATACGCACGCGGGAAGCTTGCTGAAGTACAGCGCGGCCTTGAGCGGTAAGGGCAGCGAGGCCGGCGCCTTCCAGCCAGTCTGCCAGCCAAGCTTTTCTGAGGGGCGTGCCGCGCTCGGCGGCAGCCGCTTGGATGAACTTGCGCGTGTGGAGGCAAATATCGCTGTAGCCAGCGGATACAGTCGTGGACGTCTCTCGAAGGTCCTTGTCCAACAGCTGCACGCTGTGCAAGTGCGCCGGAACTCGGCCGCCAAGGAACATCCCTCGGGTGCGCGACACCACCAGGTCCGCCTGTCGGAAGCAGACTTTCGCCGCCTTGTTGTCGCGGCATTGAGCTGCTTCGCTCAGCTCCGCTTGCACTCGCCGCTCCGCGGCCCACTGCCAAGTAAACCTTCGCTGCTGGATCCCCAGCAGGTCGTAAAGAAGCTGGAGCACAAAGTATAGCATCCGCGAAGAGAACACGCTGCGATGCTTGCCAGCATTGCAAAGACAAATCAGCCGGACCTGTGGCACTTTCTTGCCTTTGCACACGTGGCGCAGCCAGCACACCACAGTCAAAGTCAAGGCCCACATGGCGTTGAACAAATAATTGTCGCCACCCTGCTCGAACTGATGCCAGAGACAGCCACCGTCCAGCGTGTGCTTCCAGCAGCTGTGCACCCTGTGTGCAGTCATGAAGTCATCAAGCCAGAGCAGCAACGCCGGCACCACCACTGTAGTGGAAGCTAAAGCCTCGGTCAAGCCATCCCGATCGGCCTTGGCCCCGTCAAAATCCGAGTCCCATCTCGGGTGGCAAACGTCCGTTTTGCCACCGGCGTAAAAGCCAATCCAAGAAGGCAGGTCGGACACCGAGTCTCGCAGAAGGTCTGCCAGCAACACAAATGCCGGATTCGGCGCAGCCATGGCGACGCCAGGCGGGCAGAAAAGCCGCGCCTAGGCTACTGCAGTTGCCAGGCGGGCAGAAAAGCCGCGCCAAGCAAGTTGCCAGGCGGGCAGAAAAGCCGCACCCAGCAAAAGCAGAACCAAACAAAACTTGCGAGGCTGCGCGTGTGCTGTGATGTGATGTGTGTGGCGATGAGCCTTTAGGTAGACCTTGCGTGTGCGTGTGTGTGTGTGTGTGTGCTGTGCGGTGTTTTTGTGATGCTGTTGAAGTATGCCAGTTGACTCATGCCTGATGTGAGGCTTTGAGCAGGTCGAGCATTTTCAAAAATCAGTCATTTCAACATGAGGTAAGCCAACGTTGACAGCAAGGTGCCCTGCAAAATTCCCGATGTCGGGAGCCTCGTTTTTCAAAAAACCAACCACACAGGAGACTTTGTATTCTGACAAACTTCTTTGTGGCAGTAGAGCGAAACCACAAAAAAAGCACCGACCAGAGGTGATCAACTTCCTTCAAAATGTTATCGAATGCTTACAGCAATGGTGGTTCCCCATAAAAAAATGGTGGCTCCTAGTAGGGACACAAATCACGGACCCGTAGTAGCGCGACCTATTCTTTGGATCAATGAAGTCTTCCATGGTACCAATCACAACACATGTGGATTCAAAAACCTCGTGCAATTCAGCTACCTGCAATTTCCCATTTCAATGCTTGGTACTTGTCTCACGTATGTTTGATTATAGCTGCTTAGAGACCCATCGTACTTGATTCAATCCCCATGGTTTCCAAGGCCAGGGGTACCCCTATTCTGAGACCTACGTATTTCGTGGCAAGTGAATCTGGACTTCCAAGGAATGTGAATGAGCTAGGGGGCTAGCATGGGACAACATGCGAACTGATGTCAAAATAAAGGGACCCTTTTTGGTAATCCTTGAAGGGAAAACAAAAGAAT